AATTTGTTCTGATGTCCAACAGGGGTTGGGGACCCCAGAATAATTTTTTCATTACTGGTGGCCAGTGTGGGCTAAGTGTGCAGGGAGGTGGGCTGTCTGTGTCTGGCGATGCCTTCATAGGGCCTGGGGCCAATGTGAAGATGTGAGAAATTGGTATATGGCGTGTTTGAGCCAGAATCTCGAATCATTCGCCAGCTCTGCATTGTGAACACAACGACTTCCAAAACAGCTGATTCGATCTGTGAAGTCTGGAGGCGCTCCCTTAAACAATTATTCTGCGGTAGGCAAAGGTTCGTCAGGATTATTATTCCATGGTACCCCCTGGTCTGGGTTCTCCATGGTCAACATAAATTATTCCAGGAGTGTTTTTTTAGAATTATTCCTGGAAAATTATTCCTGGGGGTTACCCGGACACTGGAATAATTATTTAAGGGAGCGGCCATATTTTTTTTGGGGGGGCAGTCCAAAAGAAAGCACCCTCCCTGGAACCATCCATGGCGACGTGGAGATCCGCACCACCTCCTCCGTGACCTGGGTCCTTCGGATGGATTTGATGATCTATCCGAGTCTGTGGGAGGCCAATGCCATCGGTCCTTCTATGATTGTTCTGGGGAGCGTGTGGGACATCAAGCCCACCTTTGGACCGGAGTCTGCATCAATCAGTCTGATGATGGCGCATGATCAACGATGCCCAACTGAGCCTACACTGCAACCTGCGACTTGGGGGTCAATGTGGTTATAGGTGGCAAAAGCACTTCTTCATCCTCATTGACGCAAACAGCCCGAGTGCACGGTCGTTTTCAAGTCTTCTTGAGCAAAACCAGCGACGACGATGGTCTCACATCGTCGCAGGAACTGAGGAGCTCAGTACAGGTGCTGTTTGATCACATTTCTCTAACAAAGTAGGTTCACCATCTGGGATGAGTCATCGCGAAATGCCACAAACGGTCTCACTGTTGGGAGGGTGGACCCTTAGAAAGTCTTCCAAACTTTGCCGAGTGCAACAGCTGGACAATGGCGAAAAGTGCCCAGAAGTTCAAAACCTGTCAATGTTCCTTCAAAACTAGGGTTCACACTTTCCCTTCATTGTTGGGACACTGCAGGATACAATCATGTTACATGTTCACTTTGTTGGGCGGATGTGCGCCAAAGTGTTGGAGGACCCAGAGAATTTGGAGAGCTTGGTCTTCTGGAGACAGGCCCAAAAGCAAATCAGGCCTGATGAAACCTGTTGCCACAGGGTTTAAGCCCACGCATGCTTCTCATGAAACCATGCCACCATGTATAACACCGACTCAATACTCTAAACCGTTTAGGATGGATCCAAATCAGTCATCCTAAACGTTTTACATCCGAGTTTTAGGGGCCCCAATCGTCAGAGAGCGGCCCCACATGGCATCCACATGGTTTCCATGTTCTCATTTGAGGCCACGAACGCGCCAGCGCCCGCGGCCACCCTGGCCCGCGCCAAGGAACGAAGTGGCCCAGATGGTTCACACCTAACTGCTCCTCGAAGCCGTCCTGCATAGACATCCAGGACTGCCCGGAACGAACCTGTTCGACGTATGGCCTGCAAGTGGAGTACCACTCGCCCAATGTTGGGTCGAACGTCCCCGGTAGCAAAAACAAAGAGTATCTAAATGTATCTAACTGTTCTAGGTAGCCAACAGTGCCCACCCCGTGTTGATTGAAGAGTAGTGCAGACTAAAAGCAAACTATGGTATCGAGTAAACATGCATCAATAATATCAATATGTAACAAAGGTTCAGTGACTTCGTACTTCGTACGAATGAACCCTGGTGAGGCTCAACGGTAAACCAAATAGTAGTGTAGAAAGGTGCCGGGCAAGTTTTGCCGAGCATGGTTGTACAAATCGAAGGACTCTGGATTTATGATGGGCACAAAAATCCTGAACCACCTTTAGCTCCCAAATACACCAGAATTCGTGCGATCTCCTTGATGATTTCCTCCTTCAGCAGTGTAGCTGATAATAGCTGATATATATAAATATCTAAATCATTATAACCCATTATGTCAGATCCGACATGACCCTTCATCTAGTTAGGTCTCAAGCATCTGTCTCATCCATGCGGGAGGCCTTGGTCTCTTGCCTCTGGGGGATGGCCATGACACCGGCGTTGTTCATCAACACATCGATGTGGTCTCCTGAGTCTCAGGTCGACCCTGCCATGGGAGATGCCCGTTCCTTCCTGTTCCCATGGGAGGCACCCTTTTTTGGGCATCTACCCTGCCAAGCCCCCCTTGCCTTGCGGTGTCTAATCGTAACCCCGTCAAGTAGCCCCTGATTCGGGGTGATTCGGGGTGGCCATTCACCACCCCTGGCCCCTGCCACAATGGGACGCATGGACGAGCCTGGGGCAGACGAGCCAGGCTCCCCCTGTTCGAAGAGTCGGTTCAATGGGTTTGCAATGGAGGAATGTTGACCATGACCCTGCTTGGCGGCGACCCATTCGGCCACCTTAAAGACTCAAAACATCTAAAACTACCCGAAAACAGTGGTGGATTGAATGAGTGATTCCATCCACTTCGCCTTTCTTGCGGGAGTATCTACATGACCCGTCTCTCTCTCTCTCTCTCTTTCTCCCTCCACCCTCCCAGCTTTTGTATCACCTCACCTCACAGCCACTAACCACCAGGTGGCCATAGGGCTGTGCGCTGAAGCGCTGTTTGAAAGACTTCACATCTGACAAATCTGCTAAGTCCAGCCTCGAGTCGCGGCGACTCGAGTCGCCCTGGAGTCGTCTCCGAAAAACATAGAGACCAAGTCTGTTCAAACATACGAAGGTTCATCCAACTCCTCTTTTTTCCCCAAACTGTGTGGACACACTTAGGAGTTCTAGACCGGTAGTGGTTAACCACTAGGCTTGCTAGATCTCTAGACCTCACACATACTGTTTGGGGTCTCTAGACCGCCGGGATCATGTTGGATGCTTCGGCCCGGTCGTCCACCATGCGTCGGGCGCACAAAAAACACTGGCACAGAACGAACGTGAGTTTCCATTTATATGGCAATGAATATGGTTGAGCGAGCCCCTGGTGTTTGATTTCATATCCAATCGTTTAACTGTCAAGGAAATCCTAGCCTGTTGGAGAAGCTGATCTCAGGTTTTCGATATGTTCAGCCGTGTTCCATGTGTTTGGTCTTTTGGCCGGTTCCCCAGGTGGCCACGCGGTTTTCTGTGTCGAAACAGTGCGTCGAGGGCGCTTCAGGAAGTATACATCACTGCTGCCACTGGCTGCCTTCCTTGGGCGACGGCCACCCGTCGGACTTCGCCGAAGATCCTCTGATTTCCCGAAGAGTCTTCTGGGCATTTTCGGTCCATAGCGCTCATATGCCTTCCATTCTTAGGCCAGGCCCATAGTCATTCATGGGTGCCTCTGCATTTCTCGAAACAATTCTCAGAATTATGATGTTGTGCGTTCCTAAGTGCTTGGGTTTTACCCCAGCGCACCACCAAACCCAATCTTCATCCAACCATATCGAATGACCAATGTCACCAACCAGCAATGATGATTATGGCCCGTCTGCCTATACATATTCCGATTCCAATATCACCACCCTTTAAGGGCGTAGGTGGGTGGCCAATCTTCCTGAAATAAAGATTGATACGGGGTGGTAGTGACTTTTACCAGCCACGTCCATTTTGCACATGGCGAAAAAATCATGTGAAAAAACCGTGTCGCAAAATGTAAAACAATATTGCCCCCGGGTCAAGCCATCTGGACCAACTTTTATGGCTGTAAAACTGTTTTCCATTGCTGCTTTGGAGAGGATGTGTAAGAACAAATGTTGCTACGCATTTTGGTCTCACCAAATTTGTGCGCGCATTTTTTTTGGTGGTCCGTCGCTCCTTTGGAGGCGAAGAAACGAGCACAGGTCAACCAACTTTTGTCGCGAGGCCTTGGCCTGGACCATCAGAAGCAAGCAGGATCCAACAGGCCCTAACACCATAGACAGGTTATATTCACCACTACTCCGGTCATCAAACAATGAGTCCGTGTTATCGTGTGGTCTCTGGGACCACATGATAGCACTGGGCTATCTGGGCCTCAATCAAGGAGAGCGCGCCGAAGCTGCAGCCGCAGCGACGGACACGGCTGGCGTAAACGCCCGCCCATTATAACGTCTACTATATGAGCGTCCTTCGCTGTGAGACGCAATGAAACGCAAAGAATTGCACATACTGCTGAAAAATGAGGGATGCGACCGTTAGCTGTCTTCCGCCACACAGCTGAAATGAGAGAGGCAAGCCAGTGGAGGGACAGCCAGTGGAGAATCAGCAACACAACATGGTCGATTTTGAGGGAGTTTTTGGGGAACCTAATTAAAAAATAACCACACCAAAATCGACCATGTTGGTAGTTTGGTAGCGGTTTTAAAGGGCGGTAATATAGACACAAATATAAACCGTATTTAGTGGTTTCTGACATGGTGTTTCTTAATAGGGGAGTGTTTTTCCTGGTACTCGGGATTAATTACTCCACAAAGGATGGATGACATCTCGGGGCACACTACATTCAACAGCCGATGCGTAGCTGCAGCGGAAACACATATCTCTAGAATGCATTTCCACCATACAAAGGTACATACCTTATGCCACCCCCTGGGGTCCCGCCCATGGCCACCTGCCTTACGAGTTCTTTCTAGAAACGCCGGGTCCGCTGGGTGCGTCGAGCGTCACCTGCTCCACCGCCTGGACCCCCTTGGCCTCGCTCCGCGTGGTCAGCACCACCCTGGCGCCCGCGCGCGCCAGGCGCACGGCGCTCTCGCGGCCCAGGCCTTGCGTCGGAGGCCGTTCGGCTCGCTTGTTGTTGGCGCATGAAACCAAAAATGTCAACAATGGGTTCTACATGAGCCTACAAAAAAGGTACACAGGTGTGTGTGTGTGTGTGTGATTCGGATTGCGTGTCCAGGAGTTTAATTTTCAAAATACAATCTCCATCCCTGTCACCAGTGGTGGATGGCCACCGGTGAGGGCTGCAAACGCACCTGCTGATCGAATTAGGGCAAGAGAAGGAAATGGGACTCGACACACTCGTGTGTCGGTGCCTTTCCTTCTGTTGTTCCTGTTCTACACTAATCTACCCGGGCGGTTTAAGACTAAAGTCCCGCTCCCTAACTATTGCACGTAATCAAGAACCGCTAAGTCGCTAAGTAATCAGCAGCTCGCTCCTCTTTTCACTCCATGCTGCTTCTGCGTGTCTTCTCTTGTCTTGCAAACCTTCGGTTGC